GCCCTCCTTGCTATGGAAGCGAGGAAGAGGTGGGCTTCTTTTCAATGACATCTGACGCTAGGAGGCACTAGCCCCTCCTGACATGGGCGTCCTGTCGTGAGGAGTTAAGTCATCCTAGAATGGCTTGTAGTAGAGCTACTATCTCTCCACATCCAAAGGAGCCAGCTGAGGTTGTTTGAGCACCTGACAAGGATGTCTGATCTGCGCCTCTAGTGTGAGGTGTTTCCAGCATGTCCCAGGAAGAAGGCCCAGGAGAAGACCCAGGACATGCTGAAGAGATTACTCTCTCAACTGGCCTTGGAGTGCCTTGGTTTTCCCCCAGATTTTGTTAAAACCTGTCTTGTCTGGCAGCTTTTGCAATCAAAATTATGATTTGAATTTTAAACACATAGGCTTTTGCAAGGTGAGGTCTATAAATACTCTATAGGCTCTTCTTGTTCGTGTGTTTCTTTTATTTATGTATTTCTATTAGTGCTATTTCTGCTATTACAGTGTATGTGTAATATGACAATGTTTAAAATGACATGCAGGAGAGAGAGAAAAAAAAGGAAAAGAAATGAACAGGGGAGAAAATAGACAAAAATATAAAAGGATAGACCACAAATAGAAAAGTGTGATGGATTGTCAACTGCTGCACATGTAAGGAAAAAAACTTACAGCACCTGAAACAGGAAAAAAAAATGTGAAAAAGGATAGATACACAAATCATGTTATGTGTAAGTGTTTTTGTATGTATCTTTGTAACAAAATGTACTTGATAATGTGGGTGGGAAATCACAATAACAATCCCCAGTAGCCGACGGAGATAGGAGCAGCCAACCCCACTTATCCTCAACTCAGGAAAGTGCTGACACCACATTTAAGGCAACAGATATAAAGAAACTGTTGTACATTCCTAAAATCTCAACACCTATAACACATCTTTGACAATCACTTGTCAAAGATGTGTTATATTTGACCCAACACTACCGAAGAATGTGTTTATAGTTTAATTATCTTTTAGTATTGTCTTTCATAATAATTAATTAACACTTCACCTAAACTAACTCTATCAGTGCCTTGTGTCTCAGATATTTCTCCAAGCAGTAGACAGCAATGGGATCTCTGTCTGCATCAAACTTATTGGCAAAAAGGTGATGCTGTTCAGTCAACCACTGCAGGTCTCCTGCACCATACACACATATTGATCTGACATGGTGGCCTTTACATTCTGGGTATACTGCTTGCAGAGAACCCTCTGACCCCTCGTGCCACTGCCACTTCACCATCCGTGCAATTGCATTCATGTCTGTGATGTCAAATTTACGGTTGGGCCATGTTGAGCCAGAAACACCAGGCATTCGTTGTATTGTTGCCCACAGAAACTCATCAGGACTGTAGGTGTCTTTGGCCCACTCAATGAGGGCCTGTATTCGCTCGTCTTCCAACACACTGCGAATGTAACCTCGGTTGACCACAATGTAGGCATTTCCTGATAGTATGGGCAGATTAAAGGGA